CCGCCGGGGTTGCGCGGGGGCTAGAGGGGCGCGGCGGACGCCCAGGATCCGGGTCCCAGTGTAGCCGTTCACCTGGCGACACCCCCCAGCCCCTGCCAGTGGCTTTGCAGCTTTGGAGGTAGTGGAACCCGCTGGGGTTTAGAGTCTTCGAAGAGAAAAGGTCTTTTCATTAAGACTCCTTCATCCCTTTGGAAGAGAAGAGACCAGACCCTCTTTGTCCCGCGCAGCTAGAGACTGACCTTTGGGGTTCACTCCTGGAAATGTTTTTCATTTTATTGTTGTCCTCCCTGCAGATGCTTAGTGGGTCCAATCAGAAAGCGGTGAGGGAAGCTGCGTTCCTATCCCCTACTCCTTTCCATATTCCAAATCACCAAAAGAGTTCCAGACCCTATTACCTCTAGGGCAGTTGACCGCAAACAATCTCCGACCCTGTTGTGACCAGTCAGACCCTTGCCTCTTCTCCGAACTTCAATCAAATTGTCCTGCTGTGCACTGCTGCTTGGAGGAACTTTCAACTCTGCAATGAGACGCACAGGAAAATTTTCTAATTGCTTGATTGAAGGATATACAAAAGAAACACAATACATTCCTTCTGCTGCAAATGTCACGTTGTACATGCTTGTTTCCATGGTGGTCTCATAACTAGACTGTGAGCGCCTTGATGGCAGGGAGTGTGCCTTATTTATTATTATAACCCAGCCCCTTGCACATAGGGAGAAATAGTCGGTACCGTGTTCCATGAACGCTGAATTAATTTAAAGCCTAAATAAAAAGATAAGGCAACTGGTGTTATCCTCCATGAGCCTGACTGCACTGAGCCCTGCAAATTCATGCACTTTTCAAAGATTTTCATTTATATATCCTTTAACTGTAAAAGCATCTTTCTAGTTACATGAGACCCAATTTGGATCCTTTTAGGAATCCACTCTAAAGCACGGAAACAAGTTCTGGATTTATCTCTGGTATTCTTAGCATCCATTTGATGTAGGTTATCTGTACAGTATGTGCTCCTGTGTCCTGTTCTTGTCTCGAAATAGTATTTTAGCTTTAAAATTTTAAAGAAAGCTTATTGCATACAGAATTGGGTTCTGAATGTATTTTGAGTGTTACAACCTGTCCTCACTAATATCCACAGCCTCTGAACCCCAGGCTAAGTGTGCAGAGCCAGTGATGCAATTTGCTTCAGGAATTGATTGTAGTCGTGTAATAAATTTCAAATCGATCTAGAATGTTTATACAAAAATACATACATATATATTAAGATATTGACCCTTGATCTTATTCTTCCCATGAAGAAAAATAGGAAGACTGCAACTTTGAAAAGAATTATAATGGGGATTGCTGATTGCTCAATTTTCCCTTAGAAAGAAAATTTTTGCTGACATGGCAAGAAGTGTAGTGTGTATATATAAATGCACTGAGAGGTCAGAGAAAGTGTTTAGAATGAACTGGAGTAGGCAGAGGATGTTACCTAGAAATGTAGTTAACCCAGAACTAAACTACCAAAAAAAATAAAGTTAAAAAGGTGGAGACAAGAATGAAAGAATTAGAGTCATGCACTATAAAAATAGTATGAATTAAAATTGATCAGATTAAGTGGGGTCAGACGATGGGAAACATTGATTTCCTAGTGGAGGAGCTTATGCCTGAAATACTAAACAAGAGGGAACCACAAAAGAAACTTTCAAGAAATTCAGCTGTTCAAAAGCTAGCTTTGCTCAGGGCCATGTATGATGTTCCATAAGGTCTCAATTATCAAGTCTACCTCACTAGCCTGCCAGAAGAATCCAACAACAAAAATCACCCTAACTCCCCTCTTACTTGGCCAAGTCACATCGCTAGTCACTCTTCTGTGTTAGATCACGAAACATAGCACTGTTGAAACCCAAGTTACCCTGGTAAAAAGGACAGGCGGATCCTGTGGTCTCTGCTAATCCTTTTCTCACAGTTATTGTCATTGACCTGGGAAGGCAGGAAAGACAGAGGGAGTACTCCAGTTGCTATTGAGGTCTGTGTGGGGAGCAGGATGTCAACCAGTTCTGTGCGATTGAGTGACAGCAATGAAAAACTGACTCAGAACCAGTGGATGTGGATCAGATGGTCGTGGGAAGGGTGATGGAGTGGGAGACTCAGGTGGTTCGGGTTCTTGGAAATTAGGTCATTGCAACTGCCCAGGTGTGGGAGAAAACAAGGCATCAGAAGGGCAGAACAGAAAAAGCATGTTGTATTTCACATTTCAGTTTTATTGAGGTCACAGTCATTTCTGAGATATTTTACCTTCTCAGTGTACATTAGACACTGTGATTTAAAGTTATAAACCTGTAAAACCACATCAGAGTCTGACTCTATCCATTATCTATCTACCTACCTACCTATCTACCTATTTATTCATATATAGATTGATAGATGTAGAGGACTAGATAGATATATTTTATATACTTTTATATATTTTATATTTATGTTCTTTACATATTTATATATTTTATATATATTCTAGATATATTCTATTTTTTATGTGTGCGTGTGTGCTGGTAACGTTTATTTACAATATGCTCTACATGTCAATCACATTTAAGTCGTGGAAGTTTGTATTTATGTATAGAGTTCAGTGCATTCCTGGGAGAATAATTTTTTTTTCACAAAC